GACTGGAGTTAGGGTTAGGGTTTTAGAGTTAGGACTAACAGTAACCCCCTGTACCTCCCCCTCCCCAGGTGAACATAGCCATGGAGAACCAGACGGCCACCATAGCCACGCTGACCAAGCTGGTGGGGGGGGGGGATACGGGCTGGGGTTAGGGTTAGAGTTAGGACTAACAGTAAGCACTGCTCCTGTACAGGTGAACACAGCCATGGAGAACCAGACAGCTACGATAGCCACGCTTACGAAGCTGGTCGGCGGTCTGTCCCGGGACAAGGACGACCTGACCCGGCAGCTGCAGGACGTCACGCGGCGCATGAAGAAGGGCGGTCGGCATGGCGATCGTCACGGCGACCGTGGAACGGGGACGCGGAGGGCGCAGGTGGCGTCGGAGGCCGTGGTGCGGATCGGGGACATCGAGGATGTGGATGATGGAGGTGTGGAGGCAGTGATCAAACGAGTCACAGAGTCACAACCCAAACCTCAGCCTAAACCTGAGCTCAAGCCACAGCCTAAACCTCAGCCCAAGCTGCCAAAAGGTGAGCAGCTGTACACTTGTTAGCTAGCTTAAAATGGTATCAAGTGTCTGTAGATTAACAGTCCACTGCCCCTACGGCCTGACTATGAGACTCAAGCTCCCTTTACATTCACCATGATTATAGCTACATGAGGAAAATACAGTTGGCAGGATCCAAAAGGCAGGCAGGACCTGAGCAGCAGATTGCCATCTGATAGCTAGCTAATTACAGAACTTGATAGGAAAACTACCTAGTATGAAACATCTACTAGTAAGCATGTGGCACATGACAGTGATTACAGTAACAGAACTGCTATGGGCACCACACAACAGATTAAGTCCCATAATATGGCCACAGGGCAACCCCAGAAATTGGACTTGATCAAGGAATGACTTCAATGAGAAAATGTGGCCCAAATGTGTTGGAAATTACAGTTCAAACTCGTTTCATAATTATGACTTCCAACAGGACGGAACCCTGTACTAACAGGTCTGACCTTGTCTGACCTTGGAGTTTGTCCTGGTGGGGGGTCTGACCTACTTATAGCAGAGGGGGTGTTTACTGGGACCTGGACAACAAGGGTGCTGTTAGAGCTACTGTCATCATGAGGAAAGCACAGTTATTATGGATCTGTCCGGGCCACTCACAGGGCAGTACAGTCAGGAGAAAACATCAGGACAAAGTTCCAACAAACCTGAGATCCAAAACTGCTTTAGTCTAATAACTATTGGCAATTTGGGACTTAGTCTTCACCACTTGTGTCTAAAATTAAACTAGACTTAAAAGTTAAAGACTGAGACTTGTGGGTGTAGAATTGTGCTCTCACACATGACAAACTGCCGTCCCAGATTTGGTGCACCGTGCTGGGAGGTCTGGTTTTGCCTTTGATGATGCAGAGTCATTGTAGTGTTTAAACATTAAGAACAGGCTGAGTAGGAATTACTGAAGACTGTATTTTAGTAAGACTTAGTCTGATAGAAGGCAGACCCTGTAATCACCAAGTTAGCCTAAAAGTAGCCTAAAAGTAGCCTCCACCGTACCTATCAGGGGGTTAGGATAGTACAAGTCATGTAGGATTTGGCAAAAAAAAGGGTACAACTCCACTGTTAGGGTTTCATTCAATTCAGAGATGTGCCAACAAATTTCTTTCACTGTGCATCTTGAAATGCTAAAGCATGCCCATAACGTGAAAGTAACTTTAAGTCAAACCAAAGTAAACAACAGTTTTATGATACAAGTTTAAAACTCTGCATGTTGTAAGTCTGTAACTTTGCATGTCGTGTTGTTTGTGTTGGGTAAAAATGCACTCGGGTGACCTTTCCTTGTTTTGTATTTGTTTACGTAACGGTTGCTATAAAACTTTTCTGTTTTCGATGTATTTACCTTTTCCTTTTTCCTGCCAAGTCTAGGAAACTACACTTGGAATGATACACTCCGTAAGCACCTCCTTTTTCTTTCCTCACCTCAACGTTTAACTGGTTTGCTTCTTTTCTATTCCTTAACTTCAATTCTTGTTTCCCCGTGTTACTTTTCAAGCCTTGTTACCAATTTGTCCTAAATCTTTTTTAAGTATTCAAATTGTCTTCATAGTTTAAAAACATCTAAAACCCATGTGAATCCCACATTAAACCTAATATGTGAAACCCATGTGAAACCCAAAGTAAAACTCAATGTAAAGTAACAATGAAACCCAGGTAACCCCATGTAGAACCCACATGCCTGGAAACAGGCCTGTAAAGTACATGTCATGCAGGTCATGGGAAGGAAGCAGAATGCAAGCCGTGTGAATTAACTAATGCTAACAATCAATA